AAAAATGTTAATCTTTAGTACACCCATCACAACATATTTAAAAAAGAAAGTGGTAGTTGCTTGCTCTCATACTTAAACAATCTAATTTAGGACCGAAAATGAGCAATTATTCGAGAAAACTGCAAAACTTTACTGCTTTGCACTGGTAAATCAGGCAAAAACCTTTCAAAAACACCTCAAATAAGGACAAATTCTCAAAGGGTAGATGATTGAGAGTCGATTTGACCATACATGACATTATTCTGAGCTGTTCCAATTTTTGGCCGAAGTTAGGGCCAAAATACCCTCCTTAATGGGACACATCCTTTGATGGTAAAGGTACAAAAACAAGTATCCTGTTGGCAGTGTTTAAGAATCTCCACTACAACATATTTCATATTTTAAAGGATAACAAATCAACATCATTCCTCCAAATTTTTTTCAGAATTTGTTTCACATGGAAAGGAAAAATCATGAAAGTTCACGAATATTAGCAGGGTTCTTCATTAAAAAAACATAAAGTAAGTATGACAGGAATTCTGCAATATCATAAACAGAGATGCAAGATTTAAGAGTTTCACCGTCATATTGTAATCTGCCTTTCGCAGTCGGTACAAATTTGGAGAGAAAACTTTGTGTCTATTCTTTAAAAAAGAGTCCTCTAAAATTAATTTAGTCATCTTACCTCAGATTCTTCCTCTATTTCGGCGGCAGCTGTTTGTAGTAAAGCTAGAACTGTCTCTGCACTTAAATTGTTTTTGTGACTCTCTGGAAGAGAACGATCAAAATTAGTTGCATTGTAGTCTTCAAAATACTGCAATTTTTCTTGAACAGAGTTCTAAAACTTACGATTACGCTCGACACGTCCTACGAGAAAATTGCTTCAATATAAGTAAGCACTCGAAAAATTTACTAGGTCTCATGCTTGAGTGCAAAAATATGGTTTCTGACACCCGGAGAAAGGAGCAGATGATACGCAAATTTTACCGTTAGTATTGCTGCGCTTCTTTGTAGCATTCAATTCAATGAAAAGTAAATTGAGTTGCTTATTTCACCACACAGAGAACATCAGTGATGCTAACTCATGTTTGACAAAAAAATCTGATTGATAGTACTGTTTCTTCAGCAAAGATGTAACTACATACATTTTTCAAAAAATGGATCTGTTAAAGAAGGCATTTTACTATTGGACATAACAAAGCAAATCAGTCAAATCAACGTAGGGCCTTTGGAAAAAGAGCCTATTTATTTAGCAGAAAACTTAGGGTCAAATTTAGTCATACTGAGGCTGGGTGTAAGATAATCATAAACAAGACGATGGAGGATTAAAATTGAGATAGCCTTGACTGAGACCTCAAAAAGATGGAATGTTTTTCCTTAGAATTTATTGGACATATTGAATAGTAGTATTTAAGCAGTGATTGTCCTTAGGAAATTAGTTAAATCTACAAAAGAATAAAAGGCAATAACGCGAACAACTTTAATGGAGCCTGGGGTGGTTTTATGAGTACTTTCCACCTCCGAGCTTTAGCAGTAGCTCTCGCATCTTTCAAGACTGACCTATGGGTTAAGATTGGCTGTGGATGCTTCTTTGCAAAAAAGTCATTACGGTGATTCGATGGTTGCCACTTTTTGTGTCAGAGCGACGTGCGATATACTGCATCAATTCTTTCCATAATTTCAGCTACTTGTCATTTTTTTTTAATTTTAAGATGGCACTTCTGTTGTCATGAGACTAAAGAATTCATGTAGGTACCAAATTTGACGAAGAAATTTAGTGTAATAAAGACAGGATTTTTTTAGAGGAAAAATATCGCAGCCGATACTGATATCGAAACTGCACTCGGATGCGATATATTTCCTCTGAAAAAACCCGGCCTTTAACACGTTGAATTTCTCGGTCAAATTTGGTACATGAATTCTTTAGTCTCATGACAACAGAAATGCGATCTCAAAATTCGAAAAAAATGACAAGTAGCTGAAATTATGGAATGAATTGATGCGATATATTGCACGTCCCTCTGACGCAAAAAATGGCAACCGTCAAATCACCTTAATTATGATGACACCTTCTGTGAGTATTTCTTTGAGAAATTATGGAGCAATTACTTACTAATTTCATCCCTTTTTTCTTTAATGCTGAGTAAAAGTTTCTCCCCTTGTTCAGTAAGCTCTTTCAACTGCTGCTTTCCATCATTCAGCTGACTTTCTTTAGATAAGTTAAACTCGGCAAGAGATCGGTTGCTGACAGTTAACATTTCTTTCTCTGCTTCCAAGTCTTTAACCTGTGAGCATAAAAAATAATATGAGATAAAATTCACATAAATTTTTTAGCATTTAAAGCTTGCTCTGTTTGGCAGACAAATGTCAAGAAGAACAAATGCTGGCTGAAATGAATCATGGCGATGAAGATATTTTCTGAAAGACTTTGGCAAGTAAAGCAGTCAACTTCTAAAATTGACAGTGATACTGCAAAAAAAAATTCCAGATCAAATGTAGCATATTATTTTACAGAAGACATTCAAAGGAATTGGAGGGAAATAGACTTTGCAAGAATCCATTAATTGGTGATAATACTTAACTTCCAACTGATTTTTAGGTTTTTCTTATGATACACTGCTTTTTGATGAGAAGCAAAATGCAACTTTTGATTAAACTAATCATACGACTTGCTGAAGTATTATTGCTCACATCTTCAACTTTGCATGTAATTAGATACGGACGTATAAATAAAATTTAGGAATTTACGTTGCATCACTTATTCAGCAGCTGTTCTATTACAACAGTTGCTCAATTTTTAGGTGCAATCTTATCACAGTGCTCGTTCCTGAGGGGTCACGCTACTCCAGGCTTATGATCCAGACACCTTTACATCATGCCATCTTTAGTTTTCCTAATCTGATTTTTTTTATCCACCTTGTTCTTTTCTTTCATCTTCACTTTTCTTCTTGACTCTGTCCCTCTGCACCTTTCCCTTCGAACTGCAGACCCTTACATACAAAACAGTCTCCTGTGCACGGATTCACGCAGCTGATAGAGCCATATTGAGCTATTTTCAGAATGTAGATGGCCCTTTATGCCCCTATATAAAATCCAGTCAATAGCATAGAGTACAATACAGTCGTAATGTTCTGGAGCACTGACGAAGTCACTTTTTGAGGCTGCTTTGTCCGGTGCTTCTGAGACTAGTGTGCGGCGACTGGCGATGACATATGCGCGGGGTCTTATCTCCGGTCTTCGCTCAGAAAATAAAGGGACCTATTAAATTTTTTTCATTATAACCGGGATTGTTGTACATTTATTAAATTGTTATGACTTCGGTGAACCCAATTTGTCAAAATACGCGGTAATAATGATTGATTTAAATTAATAAATCCCAAAAACCACTCGCAGCCTGCGATTCTCCCATAAGCTGCCGTGATAAAAAATGCCGAACGGTTCCCTTTTACCAGCAAACAAGGGGCTCGGAACGGCCCGTTCATGGATTGACTTAATCGGCGCTCCAGTGCGTTGCGATCCTGTTGTACTCTATGGTCTATTGTTGGCTATAGGTTCTTCCTCTTTCCTCAGAAGCCAAAAACCAGTCAGACAGAGGACTTTGAGGTTAGTTCATTCTCTTATTTGAGTAACCTATCTCAAATTTACGTCAGTTAGATTATTCGACTTAGTTTGGGGATGAATTGCTTTGAAACTTGAATTCACTTCTTTTCGTTCCAAAAAAAAAACATGTTTAGACTCAAAATCGGTCATCTAGAGTAATTTCCTCCTGAACATTAAATGAAGTCTTGGAGCCACAGCTCCAAAGAACAACTCTACAGATTTAGTAAAACTAAGGATAAAAATACTTCTTTCATGAAATGACCTGCATGGCCATTGTGGCTAGGCGTTTGAGATAGAAAAATGAGTCATCATGAATCACTAGAGATGATGAAACATGATGTCGTAAAACTTGAGAAAGAAATTTGATACTAATGACTCATAGTATTTTAGTTTCAAGGAATTTTGATTGTCTGTATACGCGTGTACAATTTATAATGCGTAACTAGCAGTCAAAAGCCAATCAGTTTCATCTCTTTCAAAACAAGATGGATTAATAACCAATTCAAAATCGGCGTTCATACTGACTCATTTACAGATCTGAAATTCCCCCATGAAATGAACTACTACGACAAAAGTGTACATCCTCAAGGGTAAACTGGGAACAGCGAGACCCTTAAAACAAAGATACTTAAGTAATTATCATTTTGTGCTGACATGAGTACAAAAACTAATGAAACAAAACTTGGTGATAAGAGGTTGGTCCAGCATGAGTTGTACATGGTATCTGATCACTAAAAATAACTGCTAGGTACATGACTAATAACACTTACGACTTTGCAGTCTTTGATCATATCGTCTATTTTATCATCACTGCTAAAAATTTCTTTTAGTTCCTCGGAGCTGAACGCATTGAAAGATAGTTCATTCAGAGTTGTAGTAACGAGCATATCCGCGCGACTATCAGGATGGTTATAATAAGTTCCGGCCGACATTTTCACATACTATTATAAAATGCGAAATGAAAATTCAAGCGGTTAACTTCGACCGATATATTAACAACTAATCGGAATATTTCGGATCCTGTTACACAAATTAGATAACACTAATCACAAAGGCGAACGCCATGGCCATGTACTTGAACAATGAACATTCTGTTGTTGTTTATCTACGGTGTGCATAGAGTAAGATAAGTAAACACAGAAGAAAGGATGGCCGCTACCGCTACTCCTGCTGCTACCTAGCAGAGTAATTTTGTACTTTTATCTTGAACTTCGGACTTCGAACTCCGCAGTCAAATCTGCACTTCTGCAGTCGGCAATGCAAAAATATTTTAGGTACATACTTCATTTATAAGTGTAATTTATAAACACGAGTTGGACTGCATTTTGCAATTTGGAGCTATAAATTCTAGCTCATCTGAAAAAACACTTATGTGCATAGGGAAACTTATGGCACATACGTTGTTTTGAGCCGGGCCTGACTTTATAGTTCCAAATTGCAAAATGCAGTCCAGTTGCACGTCGGCCTACTCATTGCGGGAAAAGAGTTAATAGACTAAGCCCGATTACATGGTCTCGTATCTTTGTCTCCCTAGTATAGCAGTGGCTGATGAGAAAAGTTGTAAAAAACTCGTAAATTTTAAGAGAACTTAAAAATTTACTTCAAAACCACTTGAAAATTGCGTTAAAAAACTCTTGTGGAATTCGTATCAGGAAACCCTTTAAAGGGTTCTTTTCACATAAAATTGAAGAAAAATTTATGTTAATTTTTTTACGTAAATATCAAGTAAAATTTATGTTTTTTTTTTTTTATTAACTTCCTGCGGGCAAAAACGAGGAGGAAAATGTGGTGAACGGAGAAGTATAAAAGGAAAAGTTGCAGCCTATACAAATTGAGGATATAGTTTGTTGTTTTTCACGTAAATTTTACGTTTTTTTTAAAAAAATTAAAATAACACTATTTTTTTATCTAATAGACTTCCCCAGAAGGGTTACCTAAAACGAGTATGTATTTTAAGAGTTCCTTTTTTACTTAAACTTTACGAACTCCTAAAATTTACAGGTTTTTTACATTTTTTTTAACAAATTTTTGTAGAATTTTGTTTAAAGAGCCATTGCTCCTAGGGTGTTACACACGTAGCTCTTGACTTGAAGCACCACTAAAAAAAAGAATCAACGAGTCCAACACAAAAATGGAGCAAGGGGAAGGAGGGAAAAGAATCGTGTTGATGACGGTGCAGAGATACAACTATTCGTGCTTGACGGATGTCTGTGTTGCGTCTGCAAAATTGAAGGCGCGATGGCATGAGGCGTGAACTCGCAATTCTCTGCTCTGTGCTGCCAATACGGGAGAAAAGTTGAAAGACGAGGCTCGATTGTAATCTCTCGTATATTCAGCTGTATTACTCACATAGCTCTTATAGCACCACTACAAAGAGAATAATCGGAACCAACCCAAGATGAAAGGAGAGCAAGGGAAAGGACTCGTGTTGATGACGGCGCAGAGATACAACTATTCGTGTTTGATGGATGTCCGTGTTGCGTCTGCATGGTTGAAGGGGCAATGGCTCACAAGGCGTGAACTCGCAATGCTCCGCTCTATACTTCCACCAATGAAAGGTCTTGCAGATTCACGAGAAAAGTTGAAAAACGAGACCCGATTACACAATCATGTTCTATCTTCGGCTGTATTGGCGCTCGATTTTTTCTCCTTTTTTTTTAAATTTGATGTCTGATTTTTTTTTTTTTTTTTTTTTTTTTTTTTTTTTTTTTTTTTTATAGGATGTAATTTTAGACCTACGTCCATAGCTCGTATGCGTGCTGTCCCCGTAACTCCCCCAGAGGAGATAGTCGGGTCGATTTCTAGGCATTTCTAAGGATAGTTGTAAAAGAAAATTTTCTGCCACTCTATTTTTCTCTCTTTCTCTTATATGTGATGTCCGATTCTATTATTACGGCAAAGATCTTTATCTGAAACTCAAATGCACCCTGTTTTCAGAAAATCAGGGACCCATCTCACACAGCTTGTGCATCCTAGGGCTAAATAATTAACTTTTTGCATTTTCGAGTAGAATGTGTTGCCTGGGCGCTGCATTTGAAGGCGAAAATCGGGTCGACTATTATCACAAACAGAATCATACGTACATCGTTTTCCTATTGGCTCTGTGAAAGCATGGAACAGAATTTGGATTTTGTGGAGAAGATAAGGCGATATATAGAGAACCTCAAAGTCTTGGGACAAAAGAGTGCGGTAAAATCTTACTTTTTTTACACGTTTTACACTGACAAAAGACGAAAGTTGCACAAAGAGGGTCGAACAGGGAAAATTCGGTCTGAGAAAAACTGAATTATAGCACTTTTGGCCGTTGCCTTTCAAAGCTTTTCAAATCGTCGGATCGCCATGGAGATACATTAAACAAACATTATTCTTGTGAAATCATCGAGTGGACACTTATTTGATCGCGAGTTTCCGTCTGGACGACACAAGAAAATGTTAAACGCCATAATCCGTTTTTTAACTAACATGTGAATAAATGTTGGACGGGATGCCTGTCCACGAGCTGTTTAAATCCTTGGGTCGGTTTTCTTTTCATAGGATAAGAAATCAGTCATAATGTGAAATTTTTTATTTTGTCATCTTTCATCATTATGACAGCCACTATTTTAAGTGGTGTGATTTTTGTGTTTCAATAGCTCCTCGCAGACTCTAGGCCCAAGATGTGTACAAAACCTCATTACAAAACCGGTCCAACGGTGACAATGGCCCCAGAAGATCTGGAGATGTACCAACTGGCCCGTGCAGAACTTGATCGGTTGGAGAGGCAGTACCGCATCATGGAGAGTGACCGTCTTTCCTATGCTGAAGAAATGAAAATTCACCTAAATAAGCAAAGGTATTTTCCTAAGTAGCAAAATGAAAATATTTTATGAAAAAAAAATTAGGTAATGAAAACAATTCAGAAAATAATAAAAAAGTAGCTGGCATCATTGAAAGTAGACAGAAAATTTAAAGTGAGTGTCACTATTTACCAAAGAAAATAGGTCTAGGTATTCCCTGTCTACAAAATGGATCTATTTTCCGTCTAGAAAATTGATAGGGCTTAAGAAAAAGGGCTTTTTCTTAGGGCTCTAGGGCTTTTCTCTAGGGCTTATCCTTAAGAAAAAATATCTAAAAACCTGACGGAAAATATGGAAAAATTGGATCTAATTGATCTAATTCTTAGAAATTTAAAATTCAGAACACAGATGGAAAAACACAGAATGAAGACAACAAAATTTTCTGGTTTCCTTGTATTCAGTGTCCGGAATATAGACAGAAGTTTTTTAATAATTTTCTTACTTCTATTTAATACATCTATTTTCTTTCCATTTTCTTTCTACGGGTAATATTTTTCTGTCTAGAAAATAGACAATTTCTAAATTAGTATGCTAGACAGAAAATAGATTCCACTGCTATACTTGGGTATCCCTATTATCATTGACTGAAAGCAGGATCGGATTACTGCCGTGCAAAAGAAGAACGTCGTATGAGCCTTCAGACGTTGCCAAACTTCCTGTGACAAATCACTAATTTTCAGGAAAGTTTGTGAATATTTTTCTTCCTATTTCTCAGATAATTATGTTCAGAATATGGTCTAAATTTCCTGAAAATTTCAAGGGAAAGTGTTCATAACTTTCCTCAAAAATAAACATTTCTTCAAAGGAAATTTGGCAACTCTCGAATTTTCATACGGCGTTCTCCCTTAGCACGGCGGATTAGAGGTCAGGTAGGGGCTCGGGGTGCTGGCGGGTATAAGGGCCCGCATACAGCGCACACGGCGAGTTGCATACTTTGATAATTGAAGGCGGTCCACGTTTCCAAGAAAACGAAGGGTCCTGGATGCACTCGTTTCGGAGCCCTAAATTCCAACCTTTAAGGGCCCCATGACCCGGTTTCAAGACCTCTTCGATTCCCAAAATCTCTAAAACCTCAGAAGCCCCCAAAAAATTTGATTGAACCTCTCGCAGAGAAGGAAAATTAAAAATAATAATAGGAAAAAAACTGCCCCGGAAACTGGAAAAAACATTTTAGACGGCCAACTATGTCAGTGCATTTAAGCAATTGAAGCGTTTTTCGGTAAATGACAATGTTACGATAAAATCAGTAACTATGCACTTCATCGGGGTAATAGGCAAAGCGCTGCAGGTGTACCTACTTAAAAGGAACAAGCAAAACACCCTTAGTTGGTATCGCATGCGACGAACGCTGAATGAATCTCATTGTAGCGCCTGGATGCAACTATTCGAGCTCTGAGGATGTCCATGTTGCATACGCACGGCAGTGAAGGCGTTTTGACGCTCAAGACACTCACCATTCACCTCCGCGGCGCGGCGCGGCGCGGCGAGGCAGCGGGTTCCAAACTTCCAAACGCCCTCCAGACTGGTTTGGTTTGTAGATTAGTAGGTTTGCGGACGTCGATCGATTTATAGATGTCCATCGAATCGCGGATATCAATCGAGTTAATTCTTTTTAAATTGGAAATTTATGATCTTGCCCAGTAAATATTTTTCTTTTTCCTTGCTCCAGGCGAATGATCGAAAATTTACAAAGAGAGAAGGATGAAATAACCACAAATCTAAACGTGGGAAAGACCTCCCAAAATATACTCACAAACAATCAACAAAACGAAAAGCTGAAGGAACTGATCAAGAGGCATGATGATTTGGAGGCTATGATCAAAGTGGAAAAGTCTCAATTGGAGGAGCTGGACTCACAGATATTCAAAATCGAAAAAGAAGTGGACGAATTGAGACTAAAAGATAGCAGCACAATTGACAGGAGACTTGAGAGTAAGATGAAAGACTCAGCAAGGCACATAGCACTCCTCGAAAATCGACTACATGTTGTGAGTTATTTTTGTATTTTGCCTCTAATTCTACGGCTATCTACCTACCAATTTAATACCCAGGTAACACACCCAGTATGCGGAGAATATTTATTAGGTACTCGTGGTATTTGTAAAATGTTTTCTCCTCTCTCCCCGCAGAACTCTCTAGACACAAATACCTACTTAGTTAGTTCCCTTCTTAAAAATTGTTCTCCCTCTCAAGAAGACTATTTTAACATGGTAAGGGGGATGATACCACTACTCGACCACGTGGGAGCACTGGGTGCCTACACTAAAAATTGAAGGCGAACTGATAAGGTTTCAATTTCTCAACCTCTTGTTAAACTGTACCGCGCCGCTCCAGGCCAAAATGCGTGTTTGATTTCTCTCTTAAGGTGATTCGTCAAGCTCAAGTTACGTGGTCGAACTGGCACGCGATATATCGGATCTTTTAGGTCAAAAATCTCGACAGATTTTGAATTTTTAGTAAAAAAAAGGACAAAAGCCCCTGCACCTGAGCCTACAGAATCATTTAAACCCACAAATCGGCAAAATTCAGAGAAATGAAAGCAGGATAGTGTGTGGAAAAAAACCTCGCATTCGATACAGAAATCAATAGCTGAATCGAATGCGAGGTTTTTTTCCAAACACTATCCTGCTTTCATTTCTCTGAATTTTGCCGATTTGTGGGTTTAATGATTCTGTAGGCTCAGGTGCAGGGGCTTTTGTCCTTTTTTTACTAAAAATTCAAAATCTGCCGAGATTTTTGACCTAAAAGATCCGATATATCGCGTGCCAGTTCGACCACGTCACTTGAGCTTGACGAATCACCTTCACTCGACTAATTGAAAGGTACTTCCTCTTGTATCACCAAAAGACGACAAAAGTATAAATAATACTATACTCTCAGGAAATGAGAGATTTAATGTCGCCTTTTCTCGTTCGTAATTTTTTTCTGAATCCGATTTTTTTTATACCTATATTTAAAAAAAATTGCTAAAAATTTGCCGCCATGGGCCGCGGCTCGCGGCCCATGTGGCCACCCCCTAAATCCGGCACTATCGGCAATGAGAGAATTCACACAGCTTATCTCTTTGGATCTCGTTAGTAAGTACCTATCTCCATTGCGGTGTTTTAAAATGTCCGTTCTTAATTCATCTCTTCCATAAGAAACAATCCAAATTTACGACTTTACATTTTGAACCAAATCTTCTGCTATCGAATACGAAAAATCATGGAGAATTTAAGTTGTATGTTGACCAGCTTCTCGAAAGAAAAATAAAAATTTCGAAGAAAGTCTGCAACGTCGCAAATGGAGAAACGTCGTCTCTCATTTTGCCCAAAAATATGTATGTATAAAATTGAAGGCATTATGACTGGCCTCTCTCATCTTATATTCGTGTGTAACGATAAACAATGGGACGCGTTCGCTACGGCGCCTTGATACAACTATACAACCTCGACGGATGTCCGTATTCCGTTCAAAAAATTGAAGGCGTTTTGACTTCCTACGCGGAATACCTGTAGTTGATTCGATCGACAAACGCGTTGGTCGGCGGTGACGGGGACTTGATGCATTTTTCTGAACTTGATGGATGTCCGTATCCCACCGACTGAAGTGCGAAACCACGTATCTCCATTGCGGTGTTTCAAAATTTCCGCTCTTCATTCATGTCTTCCATGGGAAACAATCCAAATTTACGACTTTACATTTTGAACCAAATCTTCTGCTATCGAATACGAAAAATCATGGAGAATTTAAGTTTTATGTTGACAATAGCTTCTCGAAAGAAAAAGAAAATTTCGAAGGAAGTCTGCAACATCGCAAATGGAGAAACGTCGTCCCTCATTTTGCCCAAAAATATGTATGTATAAAATTGAAGGCGTTATGACTGGCCTCTCTCAACTTATATTCGTCTGTAACGATAGACAATGGGACGCGTTTGCTACGGCGCCTTGATACAACTATACAACCTCGACGGATGTCCGTATTGCGTTCAAAAATTTGAAGGCGTTTTGACTTCCTACGCGGAATACCTGTAGTTGATTCGATCGACAAACGCGTTGGTCGGCGGTGACGGAGACTTGATGCAACTGTTTAAGCTTGTTGGATGTCCGTATCGGTCCGACTGAAGTGTGAAACCACGTATCTCCATTGCGGTGTTTCAAAATCCTATATATTAAAATGCAAAGTTCCGAATCTTTGGGCGTTAACTTTGAGAGAACCACCGGACCGATTTGCCTGATCTTTTTTTTAAATGAAAGCCCCTGAGCCGTAAATTTGCAGGCTGTAATTTGTTTTTCGATTTTTTCTAATTTTCTCCGATAATTTTCTCAAATTTTCTCCAATGTATTAAAACGGAGGTCCGAATCTTTGGACGTTAACTTTGAGAGAACCACCGGACCGATTTGCATGGTATTTTTTAAAATGAAAGCTTCTGATCCGTAGATTTGCAGGCTGTAATTGTTTTTTCGATTTTCTCAACTTTTCTTCCTTTTATCGACGAGTAAAGTTCAGCTGTTTCGGGCGGTCGTCCGGCCGCTACCTGCTTGCCCGTCCCTAGGTACTCCCCCTCTACGGTCTCAGCCACCCCTCCCGCCACGTTCTTTTGGCTATCTCCGTTTTCTTTCGTACAGCTCTCCTCCCACCAACCTCAAAGAAGGAGGTTTGGGTCGCATCGCCGTTCGTCACTCGCCACCCACATTCCTTCGCAATCCCTCGGCTGCTCCGCCTCACAGCTCCTTGATATCCTGACATCTTATTCTCTGCGGCTTGACTGACCCTGATTTATTATTTGCAGCATTGCGTACTGCTAATTAAGCAAGATTAAGGTTCAACCTCTTCCCGTTTGGTAGCTGCATACTATTTGTCAGGGCCGGATTTGCCGACTTGCCGCCCATGGGCCGCCTCTATTTTGCCCCTTCTCATTCGTTTCGAAACATCGGTACAAACCATCAAGTGAACGTGCCGGAGGAGGAGGAGTGCATGAGACGCGTTTACTCGTGTTGGACTCATTTTTTGTGAAAGCCCTGTCAACACTTGCAAAAGTTCACGGAACTTTGCGCGAAAATTAAGTAACGTAAACCTATATATCTCTGTGTGGACGAGGCCTTTCATTAATAAGAAAAGAACACAAAAATTATGAAAGTATAAAGATGAATGTGGTTTAATGATGTTAATTTCCGCCACCGCGCCAACCGCACTGTGTTCGGCGCAATGCGTTAAGTATCCATACAGTCTTGTAGGCGCTATGCGTTTCACGCTGACCGCACTGTTTTTGACGCAATGCGTGAAGTATCCATGCAGTCTTGTAGGCACTTTGAGTTTCACGCCAACCGCTACTGACCGCGCTACGTTGAACGCAGTGCGTGAAGTATTCATGGAGTCTTGTAGGCGCTAATATGTGTTTCCTGCTGACCGGCGCGCCGAGGGCTTCTCCTTTCCATCTGAAGTCCGCGTCATCATTGCTCTCTGCGCCGCGCCACTCCAGGCCAAATTACGTGTTTAGTCTCTCTCTCAACTAGACTAATGAAAGGCGCTGTCTCTTGTATCACCGAAAGAAGAACAAGTTAGAAATTACTATACGTGATCGCTCAGGAAATGAGAGATTTTTTCGCCTTTTCTTGTTTGTAATTTTTCTTCTGAATCGGATTTTTTTCTTCTACATTTGAAAAATTACAACATTTGCCGCCATGGGACGCGGCCCATGTGGCCACCCCCTAAATCCGTCCCCGCTATTTGTGTCAGTGCTGGACACGGGAACTATGGGCTCAAGATTTTGGGTGCAGAACGACCGAGGCAAAATTGTGGGCTAGGGTTTTTTTGCAAAATTATCTACTTGCACGTTCTTTTTAATAATCTTTTTAGGAACTTTTTTTGCGATTTTTTAAGTTAGGTGTCACCAACTTACGCAACTCTACTCGATGTCTAAAAAATCTGACCATTAACTTAGGTACCATATCAATTATTATCAAATGAACTCTTCCTCCTTTAACAGGCAACGATGAAATTCGACAAGAACCTGATGCAAAATGCAGTGCTAAAAGAAGAGATTAATACTGCTTTAAAACAACGATCTCGATTCAATGAAGTGTATCAAAATTTGGTTCGGCGTTTGGAGACTGGAAAACAAGTAATGCTGAATCTTATAGAACAAGCTACTTTAGCTTTTGATCAAAGGTGATAATTTGATTCTTGCTGTAAAAAACCATTACTTTTAATAATGATAAGATATGACTCACATTGCAGAAAAACTCTCCCATATTCAGAATTCAAAAAGGAAAAAAAGTAGGCGCGCAAGTAGCAAATAGAGAATTTCTTGGATAATTTTTACAAACCATTTTTTTCTCACTGAATTTTGCTTGATGCATTACCTATCAGGGAAGAGTTATAACTCCAATTGATTTGCAAATTTCCACATTCATCTGGCCATAATAAGAGTCTCTCGAGACAGTTTTTTTTTTTTTTTTTTTTTTTTTTTTTTTTTTTCATTTTTGTTGAGGGTAAACTTAATTGCTATTGAAGTTTTTCATTCTCATAATTATGATAGATTAATATTTAAAGTTCAGGGAAATCACAGAAAAAGTCCAGGATTTCACCACAATTTGTTTAACTTACTAAGGCTAAAAAAATAAAACTTGTAAAGTTTAGGACAATACATTTTACTGAGAGCCAAGTACCAACTTGATGGTTTCAGCCATTTTTATGGTCATAAATATTCATCCAAATCCGTAGGTACCTTTACCAGAAACAGTTGTAACTTAAGAAAGTCCAATGAGTTGGACTAGGTACCTGTATTGGATTAGTGTATATTCACGGAAAAATTAATGAGATTTCATATCTTTTAAATTCAAAGAGGTGACCAGTGAATCATTTTTTCACATTTTTAGGGAGGAAGCACAATCAAAATTGAAAGCACTCCAAGATCGTGATCGCCAGGATTTGTTGAAGCACAGCCATGAATTGCGTGAGCTACAGCGTCGCCTAGACTACGACACCAAATTAGAGGAGTTCCTTGGAACAAAGGGCCAGTATCGGATAATGGCAGATTTGCAGACAAAAGAAGCAGAAAAACAACGTAAACAAAAAGAGGAAGCTGCCCAACAAATCAAAACTAATCTAATGATTTTAGATCAGATCAAAACTTTCTCCAGCGAGTCAGATATTGATCGACTGGCAGCGCAATTCATTAAACAGGAGGAAGAAAATTTTGCCCTCTTTAACTATGTCAATGAACTAAACAATGAGGTGATAGTACTTTTGACTTTTCCTAACTTGTTAAATAACATTCCAAACTACTTGGGCTTTCAGAAGCAAACAATATAAATTTGGAGGTATTTTGAGTTAATTTTGATAAATTCAAAACTTTGGGCTTAAAGCATTTGATTTTCAGAATTTTAAAGAATTGCTCAAAATAAATAACTGTCCATTTCAGGGAGTTTTTAGATCACAAGTTAAATTTCATAACAGCAATTCTCCTGAAGTATCACAGTAGATAAGGGTCAGAGAAAAATGGGGGGGGGGAGGGGAGGGAGGGAGAGGCTAAAAGGTACCCCAAGAAGGTGGAGTGTATGTCATCTTTTCGTTTGGCAGCTTTAGCATGACAACACATTTTGATGAGAGATTCAAACAGTGCTGCCACAAAGTGAGGAGTTAGTTAATTTCCTTTGGCATTGGTGAAAAGAAGGGCAGTTTTTGCTTTTCTTCCTAACAACTCATTTGCAACCGACTGGTCTCAAAAAAAATACTAATTTCTGAACTTGGATAGCATTTAGCAAAAAGGAACCAGCGCGATTACAGTGTTTACAAAATCAAGCAACTTCTTCTTTTCTTTTAAAATTACTCAATATACGTACAGTATCAAAATGTACACAATTATTTTCCTTTCAAATCAGCAATTTTCTGGTGGGAAGCAAAGACGATTTGCTATTCTAGAGAATGTTTAAGGTAGTTATAAAGAAGCAACATTTTTACAACACTGTAATCGCGCTGGTTCCTTTTTGCTAAATGCAATCCACTCGGTCTCTTTAGGATGAAAAGTAGGTAGGTACTTCAAAATTATCACTTGTACAGCACTTACTGCACTTAAGAAAGGATAATTTCAAGGAAGATTATTTTTCTAATGTAAAATTGTTTTCATTGGCAGTTGGAAGCTCTGCAAGAACAAGTCAACAACCTTGTACAAAGCATTGAAGAGCAAAGAGTCATTAACAAAGAACGAGCAACACAACAGGAGGAAACAATAGCCAGTCTCACACAAAATTTGGATGACAAAACAGCCGAGGCGGACACAATGAACGAAAATTTAAGGGCAACAACGGACAGAATGACCCAACTTTTGAGAGGGATAGACTCTTTGTTCAAACTCATTCCGAGTGACAGCACGGCAATCCTAAAACTGTTAGGTAAGGTTTGAATGCTGAGAGATAGAGATAGCTTTTGGTTGGCTGAGTGGTACTAACTCATTGCATATTACACACACTCGAAAAAGCGACAATAATTAAAGGATGTGATGAATTTAAAGTCAACAATTCCCTAGGAGCTACCTATACCTAGAAGTTCTTAATTGAGGACTTTTTTGGAAGGGAAACTCATGGCTTAGGGTTGCAATTAAAAACATATACCTACCAAAGTTTGTGTAATTAGAAGTCTACCATAAATGTGCATGAGGTTGTGCAACATCGAAAATACAAAATTAGGAACTTTTTAAACCCTTTTTGTAATTTTCTCCTAAGAGAATAAAACTTGAATGTCTCTCGACTTCTCGAGGGCCTTCCAAAAAATCAATCAGTTTCGGGGCCCTGAAAACAAATTTTCAAAATCAAAGACTTTTCAGGGCCCTGAAAAGTCCATGGTTCCACAGGATAGCTTAATTCAAATAATTGATGCTTTCATGAGTTTAACTAAGAGTCTTAAAATTGATCTTAAAAACGGAAAATCTACAAAAAAAATCCGAATAAGACAATGTAGATACACAAAACCTGGAACAATAATAAAGACGTAAAAATTACAAATACGCTTACTTTAAAGCTTAAAGGGATGAGCATGAACAACTTGCTTCATTAACTCAATGTTTTTTGCCTTTATTTTACAGGAGAAAGCCCAACAGTTCAGCCTTTCAATGTTATGCTGTTTCTCAACATCATCGAACGACGTATAATTGAGATAGTAAATAAAGTATATGTTCTAGAGAAACAAGCACAGTTCCACGATGAACCGTCATTACTAGTCATGAAAGAGGAGGTACCTTCTTTTAGAAGTAAACAAAGAGAAAGCCAGCGAATATCAGGAACACCTCCAACATAAAGAAAAACAACTTTTTTCTAAATTATATTGAGCCCAACATGATGATCACCCACTGGTCAATTATGTTTACTAAGTTTATGGGGGACAATTGTATAAAAGAGTCTAGCACCTTGGATGCATGATACTTGGCAATTAATGGTAAAAACACTGATACAAGATAATACAACTATGCATTAGATGTTCATCATTATTGAGAAAGCCTAGCAACCTGACTATTCGGACTCATTTTAGTACAAACTTGATTCTACTTCTTTTACTTTTATAATAGTTTTTTGCCAAATGATACTTGTAAAATATTACTGTGAAGGAAAAAAAAATGTCTATGCAGTAAAATAAACTAATTTTGATACTTTCTTAAGTTTCTGTTTTTTTCTCAATTATTTTCAATGTTTTCCTTTTTCTTCCTATAACCGTTGTGTACATATCATTGTTGAATTTAGTTTTAAATTTTGGCATTGGTGAACCAGCATGAAAGTTGCACTTTCACGAATCAAATATTCCATTTTATAAACTTTAATATACATGTTAACGATGAGACTCCCAAACCACATAAATCGATTTGCAACGTTACAGGCTTCCTGTCAGTACTTTGTTTTTTAAATGAAAAACTACTCAACGTCAATTCTTACTCACGTAATTTTTCTCCGATGTGCTAAGTAAATTCTATAAAAAGTGTAAGGAATAATGTTGATTTGTTCTCCTCCGGGAAAATAAAATGGGAGCAGAGATTCTAAAACACCACAAATGAGATAAGTGGTTTGGGAGTTTCTCCGTTGATGCTGTACAAATAATTACACAAGAAAACATAATGCCAAGAAATTGAGGTTAAAGGTGAACAGATAAGATTTTTACTGCTTTAATTTTTTTTCTTTATTTATTTTTTCTTGGTGGGAAGGACAAAATGGCGGAAAATCAGAGACTCATTTCATTAGATCTGATGGGGGGAAAAAACACATCAAAAAAGATAATCAATTAATTTGAAACATCATAAATACTCAAACTGAAAAAATAAGGGGAAATTAAGACTTAAGACAATGGTTAAGTAGGTAGATTCTAGGGTAGGATGCTTCTCATTTGAGGCTCAACTTAAAGTTTTATGAGATGAATATGATCAGAGCGAAGAAATTGCTCCCATGGATTCCCAAGTCATAAACAATGGAGGATAGTTGGCAACAGAGCGTAAAAACTTGAAAATTTCAACATTAAACAAACATAAAAAATAAAACGCTATCTACAGACTACTACAAATACTATCTTATTAAAATAATTGGATTGTGTCCAATTCACATAGGCACCTAAACCTCTCAATCCTGAGAGTTCACACGGGAAACAGACACCCAAAGCTCAAATGTGATTACAGCACTTACGCAAATTGGAGACTCAACGGATAAATACACTGGTAAGACACTCAACAGATACTTAAGGACTTCCTTTGTGGTATAAATTATCTGTAATAATTACGACTTATATGAAATTAATTTTTCTTTGTTCAATAATCAAAAATATAACAAGTGAAAAATACTTGGCAAACTAGATAGTACAGCTCAAAATAACTGATGGTGTGCTTTTAATTTTGATGATCTTTGGCCAGTTCAACAATTTTGGATTGTTATTTCGCCGATTGATGCTTAAAAATCAAAAAAGTCCATTCTTTGATTGAGGCAAAGAAGCTTTTGATGGCTAGGATTTCTTATCTTTATTCCTTTTTAAAGCTGTGGAGTAATCTAACTGCTGGGTCATAATAGATGACATAACAAATTCAGTGCTGAATATTATGCCTGAAAATAGGAAAACAAATGTATTAAGGACAAGCATCATAGAAGGACACAGAGAAAAAGAAGGTAGACAAGTTATCCAGTGAGAAAATGTTACAGGAGTTTAAATCACTACACAAGTTGGACGTATTTCTAGCAGATGGAACTAAGCGCCAATTTGAGTTCCTTATGAGGAATTTAGAATCCCGGATACCGCGTTCTGTCAAACGGACCTAAGCGCCATGAAAAAGCATTGCGAGTTTAGGACGGAATAAGCCGGACGCCCGATTCCGCCGCAAATTCAAGCCCCCCTTTACTACCCCCGTTTGATAGAAATACGTCCAGTTGTTGAGTATAAAAAATTTTTAAAATTTACGAAAATTTAAAAACTTTTAAAACGAACTTTAAAATCACTCACTTGCATAATCTTTTTCAATTTTTCAACATATTTCAAAACGAGTCCACTTCAAAATTGAAAAAGTTTATGCTAGTGAGTGATTTTAAAGTTTGTTTTAAAAGTTTTTAAATCTTACATAAGTTATCGTTTGGCATGTACCGTTCCAATTTCGTGGACTGATTCAAGGCAGTCTCTACAGAGGCTCTTGCTCGATTGGAACTTTCAACTACGCATTGTTTTTCTCCCAATTCCTGTGCTCAATTGAAACAAGTTATAACTCAGTTGTGACCAATTCCACCAAAGTTCCGGGGACTCTGGGCGTTTGGACAAGGCCTGTTTTTTTTTGAGATTTTTTTATTTTTTTCGAGGATCGGGGCGTCAGCCCGATGCTCCAACCCCCAACCTGGAGGGCCAGAGTTTGATTTCGGAGTTGCCTCTCCTAGACAGGTTGCTTTCACCACGGCTAAGAGCCCTGTCTACCCACCCCCTTTGAGGCAGGGGCTACCAGCTGGGGTCCGCAGGATTGCTAAACCCGTGACAGTACAGTCCCCCATACGGTCACACTATTTTATATCCCAATTAAAATGTTTAAACGGGTTTTTTCTTTAATTTTCTCATGAGTAGAGGGAAGATGATGATTGATGATTTCAGCTCCAACAGATTAGAGTAATAGGTAAAACTTTCACAATTAACCCTTTCATTACCAAGCTAGATTCTGCAAGCATACATTCCACAACAGATATTGGTTTGTTGAGCAAACAAATCGGAGCGCACTCTGTCAGAGGGTGTCCAAAGTTGTCCAGATCCTCTACAACAGGAGGAGCTACAAATGTGAGTATTTTTGAGTGAGTACTGCTGAGGCAAGGATACAATTTTGCTGAACAAAGGCTGAGTTAATGGTGATGATAAGGTTAATACAGCATGCTTTCAACAGATGGAAGAACATAAAATAATTAGCGTAATTAGTATCAACTTACTCATTTCATTTTTTATGAGATCTGCTACTAGATGAAAGTCATTGATACAAGAAATAACTATGTAAGTATAAGGCTCCATTTCTTGAATAACTTTCAGAGGCCTACGTTTCTTCTCTACAACTCCTCCAGCACACTCGATCATTTCGCGAATGGCAGAAGCACCTGGCACAACACTCGGAGTAATGAAGAAGTATTTATCCTTGAAAAGTTTCTTTCTATCTGGAGATGCTAAGACTTTCGTTACATTGCATGAAACTTTCTTTTCGACATCTACTTCTGATATGAGGTATCGCTGTTCATCTGAAAATTTTTTGTAAACAAAAAAAAAGACATGAGAACACAGGCAAAGCTCTTTTAATAATTTAACTTATTTGCATGAGGAAAGAAAAAAATAAATTCTAATATTTCGGCCAAGTTGGTAAGACAGTTTGGTCAAAAACAACAAAATTTTACTTAAAATTTCAATTTTATTCAACCTCTTTAATTAAATTTTCCAAGTTTATTCAAGAACTTACTACAATTTCAATAGATGAAAAAATGGCTCTCCCTGACTTTGAAGGATAATCAAAGATTTAGACTTGAGTATTAAACTTGTTGACTTATTGCAAAGGCTTTGAGCCGACAGCTGTGGGCTGTCAGCTAGGTATCAATGTTTAAAATATTTTGATAGTTCTACGATAGACCATATATAGTATCTGATAGTAGAAAGAATCTGAGAGAGTATTTTAATAACCTGAACTTATTTTGTGCAGCAATTTATTGATTTTATAACAGAATTTTTGTGCCATTGTTTGGTTGAGCGAAAAGTAGCCCCAAATCTTTCTGATTTTTGCTCATTTTGCGATTTTCCTGATTTTGGTAGCAACGAATCAACAGTGGCATTTCCATCATATAAAAGGATTGTAAATAAATTATTTTCCTGAATCCTCAAGAAATATAGTAATATTTTCAATTGATTATAAATTTGATTTTCAATCTCAGGAATTGAATTTAGGTCATTCTTCAGTCATTGTTCATGAGTTTTAACAGTTATTGATCGTTGCACATTTAAACACTGATTCTAGGTGTGGCAGGGTCAAATTAAATAATGAGCCAATGGATTAAAGATAGAATTCTGCACGAGCAGGTTCCATGCCAGATTGATATGAGAAAAATTGTAAAATACTGCAAATTAATTGGGGTGTAAGGTACCATAAATTTCGATTTAACAAAAGTCAATTCGGCAAACTCTTTAGCAGGTCTTCAGAAATGCCTGAAGTCGAAGTTTTACAGCAAAGTGTACATCGACGACGTAAGTCCGCAATCACATATCTCGTTTGCGGTGTCTGAAAATCTCCGCGTCTGTGTTTTTTTTTAAAAGGAGAACAAATTAGCATCAATCCTTGAAGTTTTTGCAGAATTTTCTTTGCACAGAAGAAAATTCACGGCTATTTTAAAGAATTGCCGTTGAGTAGTTTTCTGTTTAGAAAAAAAAGAATGACAGGAAGTCTGCGACATCGCAAACCGAGTTATGTGATTGCCAACTTACACCGTCCACATGTGGTGATCGAGAAATTCTTCAGAAGTCGGAAAAAGGTGATGTTCTTGCTTTGTGGTGCTCTGTGGAAACACTGTTATTATTAATTTTCAAGGGACGAACAATAGGAAAAAATGCATGTCTGAAGCTTATTACAACTGATTTCATTCAGCTTGGTTGAGCCAATAACTGATGTTCCCTACCTACTTTCTGAATGACTTCTTGGTTAGATGTAAATAATATGATGAAAGCTTTAAATCTTAGGGTGGGCTTACCTAAGAATGTATTGCTCTCGAAGGAGTCTTTCAACCAATCATGACTAACAATGAACTTGCAGGTTGATAAGCAGCAGACAAATTTGAAAGTTCTCTCTGCCTGGTGCATGACAAGGTGAGTTGCTTCTCGGCATGATTTTGCTATGCATCCTCCCAATTGACGCACTTTCTGTGAAGAAAAAAGAGAAAAATTATTTCAAGGAAGTTTTAACTCTAGTTCATGGGCTTTCCACTCAAAGAGTACAGGGGTGTTTCCTCAAAGAGGAAACTGAGCCCTGCGTTAAAGATCTTGAGTTGCCAAAAAAATTTAAGGGTTATGTTGATTCATATTTACAAATTGCAAGGTATTCCGCAGAAACCGGGTAGAAGTTGTAGTTCATATCCTCACCACTTACAGCACCCTTGCATGACTGAACGCATGCCTTAGCAACCGAGCTACAGCATGAATTTTCAATTTTGACCTCACTTGTCTCATCATGAGATATTCCGTGATCGGAGCCCGAAGGGTTGATTTAGAAAAGAGCCAAACACAACTGACAGTTCTTCCTCAAGGAATGACTAATTCGGGACTGTAAATAAACTAAAAACTACAGCAATCACATGAAATAAGAACAAAGGTCAGCTGACCTGTCACCTTAGTAACAGAACAACCCATCAACACCAAGTGAGACCAGAACATACATACCACAGTGTAGAACATCCTTGAAAAATTTAAATCATTTTTCCCAATTTTACATGGAGTTAAAACGTTTATGAACATATCTGTTCTTGTCATGTGTCATGAGCATGTCAAGGAGAAAAATATTTAAGGTAATTCCCCGGACACAGAGGAAGAAGTAGTCTTGCTTAAAAAAATAATTTTTATTTCCCTTGAGGTGATTCGTCAAGCTCAAGTGACGTGGTCGAACTAACATGCGATACATCGCATTGATTAGGTCAAAAATCTAGGCAGATTTTGAATTTTTCGCAAAAAAAAGGACGGTAGCCCCTGCACATGAGCCTTAAAAATCATTCTAAACTCAAAAATTGGCAAAATTCAGAGAAATGAAGGCAGAATAGTGTTTGAAAAAAAACCTCGCATTCAATTCAGCTATCGATTTCTGTATGGAATGCGAGGTTTTTTTCCAAAAACTGTTCTGCTTTTATTTCTCTGAATTTTGCCAATTTGTGGGTTTAGAATTATTTTTTAGGCTCATGCGCAGGGGCTACCGTCCTTTTTTTTTGACAAAAAATTCAAAACCTACCGAGATTTTTTACCTTATCGATGCGATATATCGCATGCCAGTTTGACCACATCACTTGAGCTTGACGAATCACCTTAAATAAATGACAATATTTTCCCTTTTGAATCTTATGTATCTTCAAATAGAAAAGTTGAGAAGAGATAAACAGGTAATTAGCAAACCTTTTGCTCTTCAGCAGTGTTAGCAAAACCAGAGAAAAGGATATGAGGCTGAGCATCTCCAGTGGGTGGATTTGTATTTGTAACAGGAATGTTTATAAGATCTTTATTCTCTTGATCCGAGTCTATACTAGAGTTGGCAGGAGTTGATGACAGTCTAGGTTTTTTCCGACATCGAGAGGGTGGGTTTGCACGGATTTTATCATACGTTTCTTGAGTAACAGTAATGGGATTCTTCCATGCAGCTGGGGAAAAAAAAAACAAATAACATATATTTAATATCAAGAGCTATTGATGAAGTATATCGGTTATATAGTGGTTTTTAAATTAGAAAATACAACATTGAGAGAAAAATATTGTCTTAGAAAACATACGATTAGAATGGTTTAAAATATGGTGAAAATTGTTATTAATTTATTCTACACAAATTTAAAGATTTTAATATAAGAGAGAGATAATTTAGGAGAAAAAAGTAGAAAAGATAAAAACTCTATTGTCATAGGATTGATAAATAGATAGAGGTAAAAATCCTCCATCCACAAAATTCAAACAAAATCGTCAATCCCCATGGCTAACATTTTCTCAGTGAGCCAATTGAGTGCCCACCCCCCAGAAATTAGATTACAAGGGTTAATCAAAGTGTAAACATTGTATGACTTATAGTTTAATTTGCAGCTTTCACTTAGAAAAGTGTTTTGAAGAGAACCAGAATGAGTCAGTTAAGCCCAGGAAGGCTTGACTTGCAACCTGTCTTCTGTAGGAAAGTGATGGAGTGCGTAAAAATCCTAAAAAAAATCGCCCTTATTAAAAACACTAATGCTTCTTATTGTGCTGGCGTACAAAATGTGATCAAGGACAACCGCTAACACTGACTCGCAAATCTGGAAAGTTACATCAAGACAGCAAGTTGGCAGTGATGACCTTGAGCTCAAAATTGCTTTACATACTAAAAGTAAAATCTCATGCTGATGATTAAGATACTACTGCGTTGCAGCAAATTTTTCCACAAAAGATTCTGCCACCGTTTTACTTACAAGATGACACTTGCCAGATTTGCAAGCATATATGTTAAACTCCTTTTACTGCTACCTATCAAATTAACTTTTCTTCTCGTTACCGTTATTAAAACAAATCTAGAGTAACATAACTAGAGACTCAGTTCAACACATTTTCAAATATTAGCTGAAAAGAAAATGACCGACATATTCTAAGGTTGTGCAACTAATTTTGAATAAGCTCTGAAAATATTATACAGCTGTATTTCATAAGAGGTTAAAAAAACTTACCCATCAAATGCGACACTAAACTATAATCAACTCGAAAAGCATTCGCTAAATTATATTGCATGTACTTCGCATTATCCGTCTGAGTAAGGCACGAAAAATGACCAAAAAGCACTTCATTTAGCCAAACAACATTTACGATTGAAGTTCGGCCTCCAGATTCACGTGCATGTTTTATCTTCTCATTCTCTACTTTACTACTGCAAGAAAAAAGAGAAAGAAAAAATGTCAGTAACCAAGATTTTTATTGAACAGTGAATTCAGATGGTATTCCATACCTTTGAGTTGGACAAGTCATCTTAATTTTGAATCGTGCTCAAAGCAGACTTACTTTTCTTGACAGTAGGATGGATTTAGTCAGAATCAACCAAACTACATTAAATGATGTCTAGTTTCTTCTCATGTTTTATTTTTGTGACAAAAAATTAAGCCTCACTGAAAATTTTGTGGGTATGTTCCCTAAAACCTGAGGAAAATTCACAGAGAGGTTCAAGGCAAAGTGCTGTTTAGATTTCTCTTTTGTAGGCAAATTTCGGTTCAATCTGTGCAGTAATGATGACAAAAGTAGAATTCAGAGAGGCTTAGAGAGTATTTCGTTCCATAGATTAAACAACTAAAAAATCTGAAGGAAATTGTTTCAATTTTCTTATTTCTTTTTTAAATTTAAACAATTATTTTTTAAAAATATCATAACTACCCTAAGAACTATATTGATTGTGAAACTGCAGAAATGCATATCTATAGTGCAGTACCGGGAGGGACACTTACTTCTTATAAATGATGATATTTACAAAATCTTGAGTATAGTATTTGACTCTTCTTGCACCAGTGAGATCGATCATATCTTTTATTCTTTGTCGGTCCTCGCCCTCGAACCCAGAGTAGGTCATAATTAAATTACGACATGGCTTTTCATCACTGAAACAATCATTTACGTGAAATTAGAAATCTGCATTAGAAAGGGGCTCCTTGATTTCTACTTTCTACAGAAATTAAATTATTCAAACGAATATTTCTAGAGTAAGAGACATATTACTCAGTGAGGGACACAAAAAGTTCATAATTTTATTTTACTACTTTAGACAGGAAGAGCTTTTACTTATAGATGAATTGAATTGCAGATTAAAGTTCAAATACTAAGGACAAATTGCAACTGATATTAAGTACGAGTACAATAAATTAGGCTCACTTTATGAAACATTTAGAAAATTGTTGAGCTCTAGTACCTTGTTTCACACATAATAAACTATAGGTGTAAAAATGCTAAATATTCTGTTGAAATGTCATTTTCCATATAATTTTTAAAAAATTTTAAGTGGCTGCTTATTGACCAATAGAACAAAAAGAGGCTAGATTTTAGAGAAAATTAGTTTCTCTGAGAGATTTGGGCAAACTGCACTTTGCTAGTTTCATTTTTATGCTGACACTAGAGTAAACCAAATTGTGTCAGGTAATTGGGTGTTTTTCAGGTTTAATTTTAGCCTTAAAACTGAACATTGAAAAAAGATTCTGAGTAATTCTGTAAATAAAACTGTCATTGATCAAACTGGCAGGCCCATGACTTACTGTTGACCTCTTGCAATGGAAACGTCTTTTTTTATTTGAATGATTGCTCATTTGGGAGTATAATCCTTTGAAGGAAACATTAACAATAAAAAAACAGTCCAAGAACAGGTTTCCATTTGCAAGTTAAAGAAAGACTGAATTTATGGTTTACCTATAAGGAACTGGAAGATGTAGAGCTAACCATGGTGGTACGACTTGTTGCTTCAGTACGATGTCGTTTAGCCAATAGGCTGTGATGCATCTTTTACCATCTCGTAAACCCTAGAACATGCACACAATTTAAAATCACTCCAAGTATATTGTCACAATATCTGATATCTTGAAAGAATTTTAACACCATTCATAACAAACTAAAACTGTTTTTTGGATGCATTCACACTTGTCACTGAGTTAATGCATATTAAGCTGCTCCAGTAGATAACAAGGCGAGTCAGCTCGACAAGGTTTGAAATAGCCTCAGTATCAGAGTTTTCCGAACCATCCGATGGACCATATTAATGACCTTTGGAGGCCAGATTACTCAAAAGGATAGTTTCAAATGTTACCACATTCTGTCAAATATGGGAAGACAGGAGAATTAAAATATGTAGTTACCAAGCTGAGGTTTTCTCGCAAAAAAATCGAAAAATTCGATCTTTTAACCATTTCTCAGGTTATCTTTCATTAAAACTACATACATAAAGAGCTGATCACCTTAAGCCACGAGAATCATCTCTTTTCCTCTTGTAACCGATATTTCCCTCTCACTAATACTTTGATTCAATAAGTACAGGAAGTGATAAATAAAAAATCATAAAAAAGTTGAATCTACCTGCTGAACCAGAGGGTGTTTCTGAGTCTGACAGACAATGTGAGTGATACGGAGGGTATAGCAAGTTTCAACCTCGCCACCATTTGCAATAATGACCTTGTGCCATCGCTCCCTGTCAGTATGATTATACGGTTGTCGATCATACTCAACAATCAGAAACACACATCCCAGCAAACAAGCTTCAGGTGGTACTGAAAAAGAGATGAAACAGTTTCTTTTTATATCTTTTGGGAATACCTTAGAAAGCCATTCACAGTAAAATTCATACTGTCACCTGCCAGTAATCCCAAGATAGGACAGTGACTCATCAAAATGCAGCCCAGTAGAGAGCTTATGCACTTTACTTACACAGCCTGCGCCTATGAAAGAAACTCTCAAAAAAAGGTTGTCAAACTAGGGTGCAATGTTGCCAAAGTGCGGATCAATTTGCTTGCTTTGCTCATTATTTTATAAAACAATGCTCAAGAGGTGGAAATTCAGAGATGTTTGAATGGTGTCCAACTCTAAATCAGCTGAGAATTTGTGGCCCCATGGCTGAAATCCTATAGCACTTCAGTGACCTGGTTTAGTCAGTCATTTAATATACTTAGTTAACAGCTCCTCCAATGACTTCTTCCTACTGAAATTCTACATTTCAATAATCCTGTCCTAAAATATTTTTTTTTTCATAGGAATCATACGCACTGTGACAACGGTTTGATACATTTTTACAAGATATATCTAACTATAATGGACATTTTGAAAAGGTGTACATTTATTAAAATGATGAACTCGATTTAAAGCTTCAAAAATGGGAGTTAAATTTTATGTTGAATAAATAGGAATCAAGATGTCTTACTTTCGCACAATTGTTTTCCCCCGGAATTCAGACACCTCCCCCACCCAGTGCATATTTAGCATTGATTTCTCGGTGGTTTTCTTTTTTTGTAACATAGTGGCACAGTTGCAAATTTTGCGTGTGTTAAAAAAGAAGTGAAACAAATCAATGCCCTACGAATATGTGATGATGAATCTATTGGGTTATGAAGAGGGAAATCTTTTGAAATGGTCCTGCACTTGATTGTTGAGTCAAAAATCAATGGAGTTGGTTCATAGTAATACAATTTAGTACTTTGGGATGACTAACTTTCTTTTACACAGCTAAAAAGTAGAATACAACTCACACTTTAAATTTGGATTATGCCCGAAAAATTGGAGGCGAGGCTGCTGACTGATGTGGTGAGGGTGATGCACGGATGCAGACTGACTGGCCGCAGATTTGGCTAGAGCAGCAGCTACCCGCTGTGCAGTCTGAGGGTTTGCTTGACTACCACCGTAAACTATTGTTTGTTGCTGCTGGAGCACTTTATTATTCGGAACAGTAGAGCTGCGCCCAGTGACAGGAGTGTTGCTTACATTAGACAAGGCTGCTCTTTGTTGCTGCAAAAGGGGGGAAAACGACGTTCAAATATGGGCAAAATGTGGGGTTAGCATTAATTAAGAGAAGGCAAACTCTGGAACTGTTGCCTATGATTCAATGATTCAGTTTTATCCTTTAACGCTTTTCCTCCAGAGAAAAAAAAGTATTTTGAGAATTTTCAAAGGCATTCTAATAATCAAAAACAATAGTTCATCCTTGAGAGACTATTATCCTTCAAGCATTTCTTAATGGGGTCTGTCTTTTGGATTCCAAATTATCAAACGGCAATCTCTATTTTTTCCCCCCAATTCATAGCAAGCAAAAATATTGAATCTGCTCAACTTCGGAGGATGCAAACATAAAAAAGAAGCTACCAAAATGTTTTCTCTATGGGTAGAAAGGCCTAATATATAGAATCAGGTATTTAAGGGATAGATATTCTGAGATTTCAAGTTAGACCGACATTCAAAACTTTAACAGCTAAAAAAAAAAAAAAAAAGATTGGTTGGGTCATGATGAGTAAATTTTTAACAGGTCCAAACACTTTATTTATGCTAAAAATGTCTGTCAAAGAAATACCTGAACCCCTTAGGTTTAGAGCTATATTTTTAGAATTTCAAATCTTCTACATACAAAAACTAGAAGGGCCAGAGAGAAAACTCACACAAAACTAAGACTCACAACAGTTATTAGAAATGAAAAGCAAAAACAAAAAAAAAAAAAAAATTATAAATAAAACAAAAAATAACGAAAAGGGAGTTAATTAATTAAACAGAAAACGAAAAAAAGAAAAAAAAAAGAGAAAAACTAGTTCAAGAAAAATGCAGGAAATGAAAATGGCTTCAACTTATAGAGTCTTGATTTCATTAGATAAACATATATGAAAGAAAAAAACCAACTGAACAAAAACCTTATGACATTAAAGGACAAACAAGAGTACATTTGAACAACTAACTTGAACTTGGGAGTATAAAAACAAAGGAACCTGCCAATGAAAGGACCTTCTCAGTGGTTACATCAAGTCAAGAATGCATTTTATGACAAAGTGGCCTTCCACTTCGAACAAAGATGTTTTATGCTCTCTAGTGACCTCCATATGTTGTCATCTCAATCTGATGCCTTTTCCATAACAAAGCTTTATTCTCACATTTTAACATATTTTATTTTTACATTTTAACATAACTCTTATTTTATTTCAAAAATTGACTTCTTTCCCGGTTTTACGAATTCATAAAAATATTCCAGAAAACACAGCTTAAAGTCTAGAATTGGATTTTAAAAAGAGATATCGCTACATAGGAGTCGAAAGAGAGAAAGGAAGACGAATTTCATTCACAATGAACCCATTGTCAATGTTACTCTAATTACCGTCAATTGAAGCATCACCAGCTTCCATTAAGTTTCATGATGCAACACCAGAGGTATCCGTTACAGTATAGACAAGAGAAAGGGAAGAAAAATCAAATGCAAAGAACTTTTTCGGAATTTTCTTCTGCAATGATTTCATAGTTATCGATTCCTTCTTTTTTTTCCTTCAATATTTATTATTATTAGACTTAATATTAATCATTACTTCACTGTAATCATATGAAGATTCTTAAGAAGTCAAGAAAATTTAGGCTTCAAAAATTGGGGGTATGAATCACTTGAAGAGAAACGCGCTTCTGATCATTTAAAATACACAGAAGAGAAGAAAATTTCATCTTAAATACGTGTTCTTTGTCAGCTTGTGAAGTAATAAGAAATTGATGGACCTGGTATGCAGCAATGTGCTGAGGAATAGGAGGGGTGTTACGCTGAGCCGCATGATGCTGAGCAGTCATCAACCGCAATTGACCAGCAGCACTTACTTCCTGCTGATTACCCATCACCTAAAAATATCAAAAATTATTTGAAAATCATAGCCTTGCTAAGTAAAACAAAATGCCTCAGAAAAACTCAACTGACAGACATTTAGTCACAGGAGGTAAACAGAAGAGAATTTAATCCTTGGTGCAAGATGAGCAGCTCCAGCCTGCCGGAAGTGAGAGGAGGTCACGGTGCTCTATCAATACAGTTATCAATGATTCAGGATATTTTATTCCTTTTTCAATCTGTGGATAAAACACTAATTCTGTGCTATGTGGAGTTTTGCTTCCTGGTTCATCAACGAACATAGTGGCATTTCATACTTTGAATTTTTTTTTTTTGCATGTTATAGCATACAAAAGAAAAGGTTTGGGGAAAATTAGTCCAAATGAAATTCATACATTTTTAATGTGTTAAAACATTTTAACTGATACTTGCGGCAACAGGAGAGTTTTAAAAGTATGTAAACAAAAGATGAGGGGGGGGGGCTGTCATTCTTGTCTTTAAGTCTTTTAGAAGTTGTTCATGTTTGAATGACTAGTTCAGTTAGTGAATAAGTTTTGGAAATGTTCAAATGTTGAAAAATTATCACATTGATTTCAAGTACAGACAGTTGAAAAATTTTCGATTTTCATTGAGACAGTTTACGATACCATCTTGTACAAACTTTTGGGCACTATTATCTCATCGTACATAGTACAGTGATTGAAGAGATAAAGCATACAATTATTCAATTATATCACCAGAATCAGTACTTAAAATGTTGCTTCAACATGCACATAGATAGATACCATTTTAGAGAAATTTGAAGTTTAGCTAGATGAGACTACTACAAGCATCTTCTCTATTGTTCCTACTGAATTTGGTGAACATCTTTAAAACTGAAAAATAAACTTAAAATAAATGACAAGTTTAAAATTGAGGAAAAAGTACATCCTTATGACTGAAATTGCTTGAGAGAACAAAAACTAGAGAGTCGACAAATGAAAAAAGATGAAATCCCTCAACCACAGAACCTAAAAGTAAATCTATTCCAGGTTGCAGTAAAAAAATGTTTCGACAAATGGGGCTGTTTTGATACTTGAACCATGCCATTTTGTGCAACCTACTTGCAGTTACTTAAGCTTTCACTTCAGGGTTGTAAATATTGGTTCCAGCTTTTCACTGATATGAAAATTAATAAAAATAGTAGTATTTAAAGTTTTAAAAATTGAATGAAGAAAAATGATGAGCTGTATGAGATAGCCCTTAACCAACAAATTATTATGAAATAATCCCAACAGTTGCTATTTCTTGCATGTGCAGCTGTCTCTTACTCTTAATATTTTCCACCAACAAAAATTATACTTACTGTTGAAAATCAGCCGTTACTACGGGACTATTAAATTATTTTTTCGATTTTGTATATTTTCAGTAGCTTATTTCTAGAATTTTTAGGTGGAAAAATTAAAAAGACCTTACAATATACTAAAATATCTCTGATTTCAAAGTTAGTTCTTACGACATGGTATGACGGTCATTTACGTGAATGACGAAGTTAGCAATAGCTTAAAATATAGACATTATTACATATTCATAGGGGTTTTCATGCTTCAAAATGCTTTCATGCTTTCATGGCTTCAATTGCAAGACAAAGTTTTCATATCCCAACAAATCGAGTATCTTAGTACCTTTTTAATAAAGTTGTGTCAGAATTTGAAAAAAGAAAGAAAATTCTTGAGGGAGTCTGGGCCTTCCCCCAAAAAATTATTACATATTGAACCCTTAAAAACGTGGGGTATGAGCCATTTTTAAAAAAGGCACAACACACTTAAAACATGTGAAAAGGTCTTCAAAATAAATGCCCTGGCAAAGAATGCTGATGATATCATTGCATTTCTTTGGAGAAATCATTATTAAGCTCAGAGACTTGGCAAAGTTTTAACATTAGCCTGGGTCAGCCTCAGGAGCTAGTTTCTCTTTTCTCTAATAAAGTTGTAGGAAAGAAGACTTTTCAAACATACTCATGTTGATGATTTTTAATTTTTGTGATGTCCAATAATGCTGAGAGAGTTGATGAGTAAGCAAGCATAAAAACGACTGACAGTTAGGCCTAACGCGAGATTTAAATCAGACTTTCCCTTATGCCATTATGCTAAACAAACTTGCATAAAAATTCTTAAGTTACATCTTACCACCAAACCAACTGCTTGAAAGAATCAGTGGAAAATGGAAGAGAAATCACGAAGAGAACACAAGATTTGTCAACGGAACTTCATGCATTCATGACAGGGGTGTACAAAACATTCTTTTTAGAATGAGATAAGGATAAAAAAAGATTGTACAAAAAATATTTTTAGCGCTGAAATCAATAATACCATTAGATTTTCCCATCCCGTAAAAATTTTCCAGAGAATATTAATTTACCCTGAAAAATGGGGTTTCCTGGGAGACAGGTGCATGCTAGGGAAAAACAGATGCCATTGAGAGATTCAGCATCCGTAAATGTAGTCTAGCTTCTCCCCTATTCCTAACGTGAAGAATTCCAAGTAAGAAGTAATTTTATCAGCTTGATCTTCGTTTAAAGAAAAGGATAAAAAATATTTTTGACATGTCTAATTATAAAATTACAATTACATTTATAAGATTGAAAAAATGATAAAAACATTAAAAACAAAAATAGACAAGTGTTTATGACTACCTTCAGTTAAAGAGTAAAAGAGACTCTTGAAGATAGATAAGAGCAATTCACTTCCTTCGAGCTACTAGAGTCACTTTGTTTGTTGTGAGGAGATTAAAGGCTACAGGACCTTTAATTTCCCTATCATACTTGTTTGGATACTCGGAGGATCACAATGCCTCAATGATGGATCAAACTATAAATAATATGATATGGTAAATGATATGATGGCTACTGCAGATAATTCTAGCCTGCCTTCTGTTGTACAAGTATATAATAACTAACTAAATATGATATTAAAAAAAAAACTGAACGATAATTTAATCTTGATGTAGTTTGTTTTTTGGGATCCTACTAAGTACAGAAACAGTCTAACACGTCTCTTTTTGTTGATTGGAACACAGTTGGGGACAGAAAATTAGAGCATCTTGTGGCTAAAAAAATAATGAAGTTCCAAAGGAGCATTTTGACAACTTTATTTTCAACCATGAAAGCTCAACCATGAACAGATACAGTACTTTCTCTCTGTAACGAGAACTCAAGGGACCAGTTGATTTCCTCGATATAGAGAGATTCTCATTATAACGATAGTTGATACTTAATATAGGAAGTTCAAAGGAGCAACCGATTTCTTCATCACAGAGAGATTCTTGTTATAACGATAGTCATTACAGAGAGAAAGTATTGTAGATAGAAACAGCTAAAAGTGTTATAAAAGTGATATGTGCCAATTTTATACATGCACATGCAATATTTCCACAGGGAAAACCAAAGTTTCTTCCCTATGCCCAAATAATTAATCTGTCTAAGATGTATGTATAATTTAATTTGCTTGGAGAAAAAAAATATTTCAAAATTTCTTTACCCCCTCCCCCCTACCCTAAAATGCAAATAGCCTACACAGATTTAAAGGGAGCCTAATGATTTTAACTGAGGAAAAGAAAAGCAAAAAAAAAAAAAAAGATATGAAAAAAGAAGGGATAAAAGTAAGATTAAACAAGAAATCTTGATATTGTCCCAAATTTGCTTCCGAATAATTTAACTTACTTAGGGCGCTAGCCCAAGTCCCTTGACTTCTTTGTGCCTCAGGCATTATGCCTTACACTTATGATTCTATATTATAGAGTAGGATAAGGAGTATTACACCTTGCATCAACACCTGTGAAGTTTCAAAGCATTCGACACGAAGAAGGAGTGCAAAATGCAATTCATAATGGGGTGGCAGAGGCTGTATCTAAGAGTGAAGTTTGAATTTTTGATGGATACAAATAAAATGAATAAAAATGAAATAATTAATGAGGTGACAAGTTCTTCAAGATATGAACACAAGAAGAAGAATAAATCTGCAGCTAACTATTTGCAATAAAAGATGACCTTTCAAAACAAAAATACATTACTGACAATCTATACTACAAGCAAATGACATGGAAAAACCGTAAAAATATAAGACTCTCAAGACAAAAAGTTGTAAAAGAAAACGACCGGTGGAAGACTTTGCAGTCTAGTTTTTTTTAAATCAGAAAATAGAATAATAATAAAATGAAAAGAATAATCATTGAGAATAGCTAGAAGAAGATGCCTTGAAAGATGCAGGAGAAAATAATTCCATGACGGGCAAAAAATATTATTAAGATTTTTCCTCTTCCATCCTATTTAGCAAGTTTAAGTTTTCAAAAAAAGCAAGTATAATGATAGAAGGGAAAAAATGGCATCTATATTCAAACACATTTGAACCATCAACTTGTTACGCTTGCTTCAATTTACATGTAAAATACAGATATGTCACAGTAATCAAAGATAAAAAGGAAGGGAAAATGTTTCTCACACTGCATTGAAAAAGAACTCTTTAAAACTGATTAAGGATTAGGCGCAAACAAGAATGAAGTTATTGAACAGTGTTCCAAAGCATGCAATTCGAGAGAATCTCTCAAGTAAAGAAGAACATTTCAAACTGAAGTCAGGAGATTAATTAGGAATGTTAATAAAACGACTGGTTTAGAAAGTAGACAAGTGGTGAAAAAGGCCTACGATAATTTGACCTTTTCAGTGAATGCCTCGCGTAAAGCTGACGACTAACCTGCGGCGCTTGTTGCTGAACAGTCGTGGCACCACTTTGCAATCTAATGCTCAACATATTTGCCAATGCCGTTTTTGTTTTGGCATTGACAAGAGCCGTTTGTACAGACGACTGAGTTTGAGTTGTATTCGTACTCTGGAAAAATTAAAATCACACTATTGCAGAATTCTTTCATTAGGTCTGATCTCCTGTTTTCAATTCAACTGCTTCACATACCGTAATCATGTCTCCTCTTGTAGAATAATTTTCATAACAAACAAAAAAACAGAACAAATACGATTTAAATATCCTCATATACTCTGAACAGCTTTACTCTAGACGACTTTTGCTGATTCAGGGTCCCTACAGTCTCAGCAGGATGAAATTCAATGACTTTTCCAGGTCATCTTCGATCGGCATGATCACAATTCCCTGACTTTTTAAATCGACAATTTGTACACTTAGAACTGAAATTGAACAATTTTTGCTGTTAATTTCACCGCAAATGACAGGAAAAGGAACCTTTTTTCTTCAGTTATTTATCATTTAACTGAACTAAAATTGCGATTCCTCGTTGAAAAGTATTCCTCTATTCACTACTCTGAGTGTAACTCAAAGCATTAAACCCCGAATAAGATGGAGACTTGGTTTGATCAAGTGTGCAGAGCTGATGTCTTTTTAGACTTGAAATTTCAAAATTTTTCATTCAAGTTCAAACTTGAGTCATTTTCATTAAGTTCCCTGACTTCTTCCTGATTTTTCTGACCTGATGAAATTCCCTGCCGATTGCAGGTTTCAGGTTTTTCAGACTTGTCGACACCCTGTGATTATAAAGAGACTGTGCTTTTTGCCCTCAGAGAAATAGGCTTTTCTAGGAATATAGCATAGAGTCTGTCAGAAGCAATGCCAAAAGATGCGGTATTATGCATTTAAGCTTTTTTGATATTGCCTTACAACTCCTGAAAAAAATGCACCTCAGAAACTTTTGAAAGTCATTTCTTGTAGATGATGAGATTAACACTTTGAATAGGTATCTTTATTTCATAAATGAAACTTTCTGCCACTGCTCTTCTTTAGCTTGAAACACATTTCTGCACCTTTCTCGTTTGTTTTTTTTTTTTTTTTTTTTTTTTTTTTTTTTTTTTTTTTTTTTTTATTTTTTATTTTCATAAATTCTCATGACAAATTTTTGAAAAAATCCACGAGGAAAAAAAAAACAAGATTTGAGGATCCTCCTTGAACTAAGTTTCTCAAACTTTTTAGACCTTTTTACAGCTTAAGTTTCGAAAAACTACTGAAGTCATGTTTTGAGAGCCTAAGTCTGCCAAAACGGTGAGATGCGTTTTGTTCACTTGCTGAAAAAAAACTACTGAAATTTTTTGTTATGAAGAGAAAAAAGAAGGACTATCGGATGGATCAAACCAGTATCAATCTGACTGCATCACACATCATCTAATTTCCTCTCATGTTTTAATTGTTCATCAGAAAACTGAACAACACTTCAATTTGAAATTTGAGTGCTTTCTGTATAAGTTGCGAGCAATTAACAAAAAGTTTCAAAGCATTGTGTTGTTTAAGTCTGTCAAAAAATAAACCATTCAGGCAAATTTGGCAACGTGAAATGCATTTGAACTGATTCTAGGTTAATCCGTCCAGATCAAAGGCAATTCTTGAAAGTTGGTTACACTGTCTTTCCTCCATTTAAATGTATGTAAAACAATCAATTCTTGGCGAAGGAGCTTGCCTCACCAGAAATCGGTATTTTCAATGGATGGAGAAACACAGAGTTGCTGACTTGTAAAATTGTCAATGGTCAAGATAATAATTAAATTAAGTTTCAGCAAATTATTCATGTTATCCTAAAAATCTCCTAGGACTTTAACTCAATGGATATTTAGTAATGAAATAAATGAATGATTTTAGAGGGACAAAAATTCCTATTTGACTCTCCTAGTTAGCGAGTATTAGTGAAAAGCAGTCCTTCCTAAGCCCAATGACCTTCTGAGAGGAGAAGGAGAGAAATAAGTGCAACCACTAAACCACCAACTAAGCTTTAGAGTTCACTTCACCAAGATATTGAGAGACGGTACTAAATTATATACATTTATGACAGTGATGAGCAGTGATATTATATACAAACTAAAAAAAAATGAAGTGGGTCGCATGACTGAGAGCTAGGCAAAAAGTATCAAAAGGCAATCCAATGTGGTCAAGCGTAGTGTTCAACACATAATGCATAATGTGATAAAAAAGTGCGTAGTAAAAAAAAAATTGAACCAGCATATGAAAATGAATGATGACAAGTCTCCTGCACTCAGGAAAAACACCGTATGAACCCTCAGATAATGCCTAATTTTTCATCATAAAATATTCATTTCTGAAAAGTTATGCATATTGTTCCTTGATATTTTCAAATATTTAAGCTTAAGTTGCAAAAAAAAAAATTCTGAAGAATTGGAAGAAAAATATTTACCATTTTTCCAGTAAATTCTTTTTCAATTAAAGAAAGTATGGCAACGTCTGAAGGCTCATGCAGCATTTTTTCTTAGTATGTGAGAAGTGCAATGCACAAAATACAATTAACACCACTGACTTAAGCCACTGATACAGATTTGATCTTCGTATCATTTGTACAATCGAGGATACTGGACCTGTTCTTCAATATTTTTAGCCTATTATGAAGTACAACAGGTTCCAATTTATTTTAAAAATTTCTGACTTACTAAAGGTTTTGATCCTAAAAATTGACTTTTCCCTGACTTCTCATGGACATTTGGCTTAAAAATGGTTATCACAAGACAAATTTAGTGTATAGTTCACGCTCTGGCAATATCAACTATGGGTACAATCCTAGCCTTTCAAAAGTTTTGACAAAATAAGATGATTCGAGGTTTTATTTTAAACTACCTTATTTAAATAACCTCAAAAGTGACTTGTTGAAACTATTCCTTGCTAGGTCAGCATGATAAGACAAAACATAGCACTACCTGTACTAAGTAATAAAAAGAAATTTCTATGTCGTGTCATCCTAACACAAGTTTCGACAATCAGCAGGCTGAAAGAGCTTGTTGCCATAGACTTTTCACCTTATCCTGCCCTCAAGTGCTTCTTCTGCTAAAATTCTGTAAGTTTTAATAGAAAATAATCCTCTTCCCTCCTCAAAGGAAGAAAGTCACCCGCAATTTAAAGCAGGAGGAGAAAGAGATATCGAACAAATAAATGACTTACAAGGGCAAAATGATGTGTTGATGAATGAGTGAACAAACAAAAAAAAAAAAAAAAGAGTGGATAAAATTTATGCCGCAATCACACGCTGAATATAGCAGCTGAATGTGGAAGTCAACAGTCATCGCCCAACGGCTGAAATTTCGCAAATTCAACTTATTTTCATCCAGATGTGTGTCAAATCTACTCGAATGGTTCAGACAAATCCAACATTAGTCTGATGGTTGCTGAGAATTGTTGCTGAATTTTGCACGTCACGCGCAAAATTTAGGCATCGGGCCGATGACTTCCACATTCAGCTCCCACATTTAGCGTGTGATTGCAGCATGACTGAAAAAAATACACAGATCTAAGAAATCTGAGATCAAAATATGCTGGAGGAAGATATAGATTAAATCAACTTCACGGAAAAATTTTTAAGCAAAGAAGGCAGATGGAGCACATTTTAGCTTTCTAACAGTAGATAACGTTGATCTATGACACTGTACTTAATTGGAATGAAACAGTCTCTTTTCATCTGAAAAAAAAACTGTTTAATTACTTATGATATATGAACGTTGGGGAGAAATGAACGCATGTTCAATTTGTTGATGGACTAGAATGGTATTCCTACAATTCGTTTCATTTATTATGAGACAACTTTTTGTACCATCTTTTAACGTCTTCACACTTTTTCTACTTGGTGCATGATAATGAATGAGTCATTGAGTAATTATAAATTTCATTCCACTGTAGACTACAAGTTTGAGATATCTGAATAAAAAACTGATGAAAATATCTATTCAGGGATGACAAAATGATGCAGTAAGAGGGAGAGGGAAAACCAGAAAGTTACTCACACTAAAAACATCTTGCGGTGTCATCTGATCGGTTTCCATAGGAACAGCTGGAGGTTGCTGTTGTTGCTGGACAGGATGAGACTGCTGTGTTAACTGAATTTGCTGAGAGGACTGCACCAGTAAATCACAAATACCAAACATTAAATACAGATATGAGAAATCAAAAAAAAAAAAAAAACAACCTAACTTGGCAGTTAGGTAATAAAGATAGAGAAATCTGTAATATTGTATTAAAGTAAGAATTTTCTTGAAATATTGATGAGAAACATTACAGTTATTCTTAATTATTTGGATACTAGACAGTACCGAATATGGCACAGAATTTCTAGAAGTGGATACATAGGTGGTTATAAATTTCGAGGGATGCCAAGCAATACTAGAACCATGGCGGATGCTTGAGTAAAGTAAGAAGATGAAGAAAACATAATAAAACAAAGCACAAAAAATTGACAAGATTTTTATGCTGTAAATTCCTACGATCTGCAGTTTTCCACTGGATTCTCACAAAATTACAGACTTGGAGGACTGAATACCGACATTTCCTTGTCAAAACTGCAATCATGCTACCTATTAAAACATGATTTTTCAAAATCGAAATTACTATCTTGACAAGGAAGAAATTAGAAAATTTTCGAGGAAAGATCCTCTTGCTGAGGGCATTCCTCCAGACCTCCCTGGGGAAGGGAGGACCTCTCTCTCCTCCCTTCTCGAGGACTGCGCAAAAGAGATTGTCTGAAGCATGCGAGTCTAAATCCTTCAATGAGTAAATAGAGTCAACGCCAAATAAGTTTGCGCAATGGGAGCAAGGAAGCAGGGGAGTTATCTTCACCCAGTACTAAAAGTAAATACATGTAATCAAATCGGCGGATTTGGTTACGAGTCACTCTTCCATCAATGGACTGAGGGTTGTAACTTTGGATCATAGGTTGAGCCAATTGTAGATTGAACCATATTTTGCTACGAAAAACTATTATTTCTCGCTCATTTTAGAAACAAGGTAAGTGGCATTAGTTTCCCTATGTAAATGGTCGCCTTTACCGATGAGTCACAGTTTCTAATTCAAAAGTAGTTCTTAATTTCAAACTGTAATCGAATGCAGAATTTGCATACAAATTATTTATTGCTTCATCTGAAAGTGCTTAAAGAGCTAATTTCACAGTATTTTTTATAATTTTTTTCTGATATGGAATATAGTATAAAAATAGATCTAAAAGTGAGAAAATGGATTGCCAAGTGTCGTCATCTGGCGGCATTTTCCATTTAAACACACATATTTTAGCAGATTAGATCATTTTGTTACATCTTCTCCAATAATTGTTCAATTCATGAACCAAAGGTATCCTCGGGTTCAGTTCACTCAGTAATTTCCATTTAAACACAAAATTCATCAAATTTTAGACACCTGCAAATTCTCTATTGAGAGGATAATGATAAATAAATTACCTGGGTCGAATACATGACAGCAGAGTTTCCACTTTGTTGCTGCTCTTGTTGCTGTTGCTGTTGTTGTTGCTGCTTGATTTGCTGCAATCGCTGAATGTATTGTTGTCGTTGCAACGTCATTTGGGCCATTTGTTGGTTCGATACAACTGTTGTTGGATGGTTTACTACAGAGGGGGAAAAAATAATTTCAAAACCGCAGAATAGAGAATAAGATCAGCTATCAATAATTCATGTACTAAATTACTAAAGGATGTCAACAAATTAAAAAAAAAAAAAAAAAAAAAAAAAAAAAAAAAACCCCGCTGACTTTCCCCAGTTTACTGCAAACAAAATAATAGTATTCCCTGATTTTTCACTTTGGCAATGTGCACATGTAGAACTGAAAATGAACAATTTTTGGCATTGATTTTAAAGCAAATGACAGAGATAAGTGAACCTTTTTTCTTCAGGTGTATATCATTAAGCTTTCTAAAATTGAAATTCCTTGTTGAAACTTATTTCTCAATTCACTATTCAGAAGTATGTACAATTGGAACATTGAGGCTCAAATCAGACTGGGGCTTAGTTTGATTGAAAAGACAGCGCTGACGTTTTTTCAGATTCTGAATTTCAAGATTGTTCAAAGAGGTTGTTCCATCCCCCATCAGATTTGGCCCCCTATCAGATATGATCCATCTTTTCAGGAGTGATACAGTAGCATGCGAGACGTTCAAATATGGCGGTCATTTTGACTTAGGCCCCACAGAGAGGGGGGGCGGGGGGTCAAAGTCAAAACCTTCAACTGCCTATAACTTTTGAGCGAAAAATCGGATTGAGTTGAACTTTTTTTTAAATGAAAGATCTCAAAAAGATCTATCTGCTGATACCAGAAAAATTGAAAAAAAGTTAAATTTAATGCAAATTTTTAGCAATTTTTCAATTTTTTAGGGGACAA